TTTTTCTCTCTCTCTTTCTCTTTCTCTCACTTTCTCTCTTTCTCTTTCTCTCTCTTTCTCTTTCTCTCACTTTCTCTCTTTCTCTTTCTCTTTTTCTCACTCTCTCTCTTTCTCTTTCTCTCACTTTCTTTCTTTCTCCTTCTCTCTCTCTTTTTCGCTCTCTCTTTCTCTTTCTCTCACTCTCTCTCTCTCTCTCTTTCTCTTTCTCTTTCTCTCTCTCTCTCTCCTTCTCTCTCTTTCTCTTTCTCCTTTTTTCCTCTAACTTCTTCACTCTGTGCCATTTTCGTTTTTACTCTACCTTACTTCTACCGTGATATCTGATACTCACTCTTTGATATTCTATATCTTTGTCATATAAGAAGAAGAAACAAATAAGAATAAATCCGTTCACTGTACATAAACAAATATGAACAAAGAACTCCTAGACTTACAACTTACTGAACACTTAATCATCAGCAACCTACTTCCATCTAAAACCACCCAGTACAATACCAAAATATCAACCCAAAACTAGAAAGCACCAACTAACAATTCAATCAAACCACAAGACGATGCACAACACCCTTGTTATCTTACAGAAAAAAATGTCTTCGAAATTTAGTTTTAGTATTAGCATCTTATATAGTTAACCTTTTTTTATATATATTCTAAAATAGTATTAATAAAACAAAAATATCATTTAATTATTAAAAACCAAATATATATAATTAATGAAAAGATAACTCGCATATTATGTTTCTTATCAAATAAATGGTATAAGTATCAATCAATGTTTGCATAAAGAAGATTCCAGTGATGATTTTTAATATTTTCGTTTCGGCTTTCACTTATTGCATTTATTGCTTAAGAAAGAAGTATAAAGTACAAATCATCTATGTTTAAAAAAAATTATAACTTGATGGGAACAATAATGTAGATACAGCGAGCTTAATCTTAATTTGAATAAACCGTTGATTATGTCTGTTATAACTTTCCATTGGTAAATTATTCCATTACGGGCGAAAAAATGGACAAATATCCTAGAACGTTGGGACAATTTTCTTAAAAATTCAGCATTAATGCAAAAAAACAGTGAAATATTGAACAACAGAAATAAAAATAAAAACAAAATAGCTTTCAAAAAGGAATAAATTTATGTTATATTTTATTTTGGACGCTTTTATTCATTTGTTAAACCTACGTGATGACATATCGACAGATTAACTTATTGGAAAGCTGTTTTCGCCAAAATACTAGCACAGTATTTGGATGTTCTACGCCTAAAAATAACCGTCCATTCAGTCTATCTAATCTTTTTGTGTGTGTGTGTGTGTATTATCAGCTGTTATGTAAACATAGATTAGCTAAAATATTCAGGCTGTTTCCCAAAATAACAATATGCGTTTTCCATTACCCTTTTAATTGTAAACTCACTAAGATCGCCGATATCGCCAGAGCAACCACCATTATCTATAATGTGCAGCATTTCGGACAGAAGCTATACAGTAAAATCGATTCCCGAGGTAATACGCATTGATAAGTAGATTTTACAAAATTCTAAAAAAGCTTTATTTAAAAATTCAATACTGGAACGAAAAGCATGTTTCCGTGACTATTTAAATCCTTGAGGCATATAAATTCAATTTGATTTCTTTTGTAGTTGTTAAATAGCCCTTGCCTGCTAGTTCGTCCAATTAGGATGGCTGGATGCGATCCAAATCCAAATCTAATTAATCATTCCTAATAAAACCTTGGCCATTCAACAAAGCCTTCCATTTGAATGTGATATAATTGACGTTGGTTTTATGTAGCTTTGTCAAAAATGCAATTTTATGAAACATTTCGAGTTGTGTAGCTTCAGAACTATTCAGAAAAAAATAGTTTAAAGTAATAAATGTTTACATAAAAATATTAAAATGATTGCCATGAATGATGGCCATGATTGCCATGACTGATCAGAGTATCAATAATCGGCAAAAGAACATTCAAATAAGATCGGACATCCAAGCGTCCCTTAACTTATTAACTAATAACATTTCGTCTCCTCCGCTCTAAAGAATAAAGAGCTTGGGTGTGTTCCTAGACGTAGCCAGGCTTGTGATAGGGTCTTAACACCGGAGGATGCTTTATATATTTTTATAAACGTTTCCTAACTATTCCTTATTACTTTATCCAGAAACCCTAATTAATCGATCGCTGCTTGACAGTGAGCTGCGGCAACGAGGTCTTGGGAGTCAGACAGATTCAAGCGGACGTCCCAGAAGGGAGCACTCTTGGTCTCATCCTTTAAGCCGAGAACACACTTACCCGATGCAACGCTATGCGACGCTACCCGATGCTACCCGACGTCAGGCACTCTCAACACGACAGATAAGAATAATACATTGTACACGGAAAACAAACACTTTGAACCCTGAAGATGATCTCAATAAAGATCGAAACGTTGGCACGATAAAGAAAATGTTTTTCTAAAATCTTTTCATCGCACGATCTCGAAATAATCATTCAAAAATACCTTGAGCTTATCGAAGACTTGTGCAAAAAGTGGAGAACAAGATTGAATGAAGAACAATGTACTCTGTACGTTCACGTTAAAAAAAAGTCTTGTCTTACTCTCTACATCGATAACAAAGAAAGTCCAAGCAGGTCAAAAACATAGGACTATACCTACACAGCAGACTGACGTAGAATCCTCACAGAAGACTTAAGAGATACCAATTTCATCAATTGACTTAACTGAAGACTAGGACAACTACGAAGAGTTCTAGGACCGAAATCTGTACCAAACTACACTAAGGCTTTACTGCGACTACTTTGGTTGTACGGAGTAAACTGGTGTTCTAACAAGTCATCCACCATTCAGTCCAATCAATCCAATCAAAAGTCCTCCTATAATTCGTCAAACTCCTTATACGTCATTAATTTCCAAGGTACAATGACCTCAACATTCTTTTGCCAACTGATCTGTTCCCGATTCCAAAAGTTTCTAAACTAACCACTCGATCCGGGGGACCGCGGTAGCCGAGTGGTTAGCATGAGAGACTCTCACGCCGCGGTCGTGGGTTCGATTCCCACCGTTGCCCCTGGCCCTTTTTTCCCAATAACCCCCCAAATTTGAACACACATATATACGAATTTGTCACATGGCTAATATGCATAGTTCATAACGCCAAAAAAAAAAAAAAAAAATTAAATTAGTTGTTAATATTAACTTTTAATTATTTTTAATTTTTTAATATTTTACATATATAAGCTTATCATACCGATATCGGGGTAAAGTTCCCCGAATTCAAATAAACCCCATACAAAATCCCAAAACCTTCAAATAAAAAGCAAACATCAAGATAAAATAAAAGTGAATGACCTAATAAAAAGAATATTTATATATTCAGATATAAAAATAAAAAGCCGTCCTCTTCTATTGTCCGCATTAAACTAATGAACTGAAACTAATTCTGATTCTTCTTCAGCAAAGTCAAAAGGAGAACGATTTGTTTTGGCTAAAAATCCAATTTTTTTTTTCAAAATTAGAACTTATGAGATTTAACTTCATTAGACTTATGAGGAAATCATTTTATTTCGATGATTGTATAATAAAACTTTCAAGTGATAAGTCAAAATAATAATAGTAATAATATACCGCACAAGATTACATAATATATAGGTTTGTGCTCGAGAACACTTTAGTCTGAACCGTTCCTTTGTGTCAATAAATCCGATTGAAAAGACGACGTATTATTAAAGTGTTAAGAGTACCCCACAGAACGTCAACGGCGTTTTATTATGTCACATAGCGCATTAAGCAGGAAAACCTTTTCTGTCAGGAAGAAATAACGTCAAGACTATTTGCGAACTGGCCCCCAAGGGTGCTATACGAAAGAAAAAAGAAATGGAGGCCCTTTAAAGCCGTAAAAAGCTTCTAAGGTTATTTACTGAAACAGGTTTTACAACATCTGGATAGTATCGACTCCCGAAAGACCAGTATGTTTCAGTTTTAAGATCACCGCAGAGTTTTACTACAAGAGCACTAGTGCAAAATACAACAAGATTTACGTGGGGGGGGGGTTTCATTAAAGGTTATAAATGTCGTAGGATGGTTCTTGAACTTGAAATAAATGTTTACGCTTTAATGCTAGTAAGTCGTAGAAAAGGGAATTTTGAACACAATTATCCCAGGTTTAACAAAGAGTTACAGAGTCATTAGTGTGAACTATTGGTGTCTTATGTTTGCATAATTGGGGAGACAATTCTCGAATAGCTTTGTTCTTCATTAAACTCTTTGCGATCCGGTCTCGAGTGGGCTCGATAAACGTTTTTTGCTACAAGGATGAAAAAAGTCATTGCGACGATTTCAATTTAAGTTTCAAGTAAAAGAGCTGAATTTAAACTGGGAACTTTCGAATAACATAAATCTCACGCGGTTTCGGGGGATTTCGTTTTAAGTAGTATATGACAGGCGGGTTTCACCACCTGCACTAGTTTTCAAACCGCCTCGAAGACGAAGTTGGGTCAAACTTTGCCCTGAGGATTCCGGGGACTTCCGTGCGAGTCGTCGAAAATTCCATGACAGATATCTCGGGCTGAGTTTTAAAACTTGGCCGGCTTAACGCTGAAGACACGGTTGAAAAGTAAATGTTTTCTACAAAGGTGGAAAATCCGTCTGAGAGTTATTAGAGATGGCATTTCCACTCCGCCTCCCCCTGTCTCGGCCCTTTTGAAGTGAAAAAAAAACTGTTCGCTCCGTTTTAACGAAATGTTTATCAAAATCGTAGGCGGTTCTGTTTAAGTTGAACAAACTCACCCTCCCGTACAAGTAAAAGAATAAAGAGAAAGACGGTTATTCTAATTCCAATCAACTCCGTACCATAATCCGATCTAATCCTCCAAATACGATAAGTACGAACAACCAGCTCGAAAAGTTTAAAATATTTATGAGTTGGATCTTTTTAACAGAGAAAATAAAAAATAACTTTCATAATAATGTGAATATAGATATTTTATTTTTCTACGGAGGGATTAACCTGTGGCTTGATCGTCTCCGATCATGATGGTATTACTAGTCTCGCTGGTTTCGTCGTCAGACGTGTTTCAGCCTTACGCCACCTTCATTGGTTGGTCTGTGAACAAAGATAATGCCTTCATATTCCTTCACAATTTACAATAGCATATTACAATATTAAAAAATGGATTTGGCTAACAGTACAACGTACAGACCAACTACTGAAGGGGAACAACAGATACCAAAACATATCTCAACTACAAAACAAAGCGAGGCTGAGCGATCGAAAAACGAGTTTAAATTTATTCTAAAGAAAATAATTATGTGTTTGTTGGTGAAATGGATTGCACCGACCATCTCTACCCATGACTTGAGTCCCCTTTACTACAAAAACACGACACTCCCTGGAAACTTTGAGTAAAATGTGCATATTTCTAACCATTTACCTAATGAAATATTTACTATGTATTATTATATATTATTATGAAAATTGGGATACTAAAAACTCGTTAGACCTCAAGGTATTCCACAAAAAACTAATTTTTATACAACCAAGATTTGCCAATTTTTTATTTTGATCAAAGGATGTTTGAAATGTTGAGCGTAGTTGTGAAATTTTATTTAAATTGTACACTTTATTTACCATTAAACTAGTTGTAACAGTTTCACGTATAAAATACAGTCTTTATTGGTGCGATGACTTGTGCATCATTCACTAACAAAACGCGACGTTGCCCGGAAAATTTTGATAAAATGAGCGTATCGGGAAATTTTGCTGATAAAATATTTAGTTCTTTATTTAGTTATTATTAGACTGTATTACGGATATTTAGATAATAAAAAATGCGTTAGACCTGCTACCATTCAGAAAAAGTTCATTCTTATTCAACCAAGATTTGCCATTAATTTATTTTGATCAAAAAAGGATGTTTGAAGTGTGAGCGTAGTTGTGAAATTTTATTTAAATTGTTCACCTTATTTACCATTAAACTAGTCATACACCGTATAAACTACAGTCTTTGTTAGTGCGATGACTTGTGCGTCATTTACTAACAAAACGCGACATTCCCTGGAAACTTTAAGTAAAATGAGCATATTTCAAAAAATTTAGGTAATGAAATATTTATTTTGTATTATTAGATATTATTATGAAAATTAAGTTACTAAAAACTCGTTAGACCTCAAGGTATTCCAGAAAAAACTAATTCTTATACAACCAAGATTTGCCAATTTTGTATTTTGATCAAAAGGATTTGTGAAATCTTGAGCTTAGTTGTGAAATTTTATTTAAATTCTACAATTTATTTACCATTAATCTAGTTGAGCGTATATCGGGAAATTTTGCTGATAAAATATTTAGTTCTTTATTTAGTTATTATTAGACTGTATTACGGATATTTAGATAATAAAAAATGCGTTAGACCTGNTTCCATACCAACCTTTCAAACCATCCTAACCATACGGCTCGAGCCCTATCCACTCATTCCCATCCTGACAACCCACCACGACGCCTCAACCGACGATGGCCTCGGGACCTCCTTGATCCCTAATCATATAAAGTGAGTGCCAGCAATGGCTGGCTCCTCAAAGCATGTGTCCTACCGGTGCAGTGCTGGCATTAGTGCTAGTGTTGTGCTGTGTGATATTTCATGCATGTGTACATATTTGTATAGGTATACAATTCTGTATAGGTAACAAATAAATAAATTAAATTAAAAAAAATTAAGCATTAAAGTAGTAGTCATGTGAAGGTTTAACGTAATTAAAGGCTGTGGTGCAATAACTTGAGCCTTCTTTACTAAAGCAACTCGCCTTAGCCTGGAAACTGTAGTGAAATGAACGTTTTTAGATCGTTTAATTTATTTCCCTGTATCCTGGAAACAATCCTTTATCCTACAAGCCCATCAGTCTGTTACTGATTCTATAGAAATTTCATGAACGGTTTATATTAAAATAAATTCCCCACGCAATCCCTAATTCCCAAATGTCATACCAAACCATCAGTTTGGTTTTCCCTGCTCCCACACAGCAGTTCATCAATGAAACAGGTTTTTTCCCTTGTTTTTAGGACTTAGGTGAGGGGACATTGTTCGGGGGATTTTCTTGATCTGCTCCAGGGTTTAGATCGCGTTTGGCACCCCGACGTCTTGTTTGTGCACAAGAACGTCCTTCCCTCAACATACAATCCAATCTTTAGCAGCTACCACACTGACCACCGTCCGAGTCATTGAAGTGAAGGCGTCCTCTCAAAACTACCTTATTCTTGTTGGGATATGTCAGGGTAGCATTGTGGACACTACACATATCAGGTGTACAGCTGAAATCTCTTCCCATCATCAAACCCTGACATTTACGGACGATACAACGATCTTCTCAATTCATTCCTTTCTTTTCAACTCAAAACATTCAATAAAATCTCAAACTACTAGAATTTTTGAAAAAAGAAATACACAATTTAACTCACAAAACCTTCACTCTACTCAAAAACAGCCTACTAATAATTGACTTCATTAATCTTCAATAAAATATCCCGTTCCCAAATGCCAAATTTGCCTTACCTAGGACTGTGCATCGACAAATGTCTGACGTGGAATCACCACATGCGACTAAAACGTCATGAAGTTGTGACACGAAATTTTTTCACGACGCCTTGATAAACTCTCTGATTTACCTCTCAAATTTTGGCTGCTTTATATCTACTTATTGAAACCGGCGCAACCAAACGGCCCAATCATAAGGAAAATCCTTGATACTTCTTTTTATGTGTTCATGGAAACTCATACTGATATAAATATTCCTCTTATCCGAGATGTAATGCGCTCCAAATTACTGCACCTTTCACACAATCCTCCCAACCACCATAAATCCTCAAATTCAGAAACTCACATCCAGTGACTCTAGTTCTTAAATTTCTTAAATAGAGACATCTTGATAAAGAAATGATCATTGTTGTAGTAAGACTGTGCCATGTAGCATAGTAGTACTGCCAATGGGTAGTTTCTCAACTCTTTTTTTATCTGGATGCAACATTTCCTTTCACAGTGTTACTTGTTACCAAATAGAAGGTACGTAGTTATAATTCCATGAACATTGGACCACATCCCTGATCTACGTCCAGAATTAACAACTGTTGGCCGATAACTACATGCGTACAGATTATCACAGTTGTAATTACTGCAAATAAAAAATAAAAATAAATAAAAACATTTGTTTATACTGAGTTTACTTTAAAATTCTTATCCAGTATTCTGGATAATAAGTGTTTTCAGATAAAAAGACAAATGACGCTTCTTTTTTTTAAACCATCTAAAAGGAAAATGTGCCAATTGTCAAAATATCCGAAAGAAGCCCACAAAGTTTGACCCGTTTATAATCTAGTTGAGCACAAAAGGGTTGGTTAATACAGCAATAATACCAAAGGAGGGAACTTCGTCCAACTGAATTTCTTGTGGAACGTAATCGCAACGGATGTCGACGAACGTGCAGAAAAGCTCTTTCCCCTTTCGGCTCGGAAAATGAATTTTCCCTCTATTTTTACTAAAAACGTTTTCAATTAGCAAACCTTTTCACAAACATTTCTAGCAAATGACAAACTCAGAGAATTGACAAACTATTCTACTATCATCGATACAATCCCAATTAAAAATATCATGCTGTAAAAATCATTTTTCTTTTTTTTCATAAAACTTACCGATTGCTTTTCTTTTTTATTTTTTTAAATGCTTTGTTTAAAGAAATTGACACGAGATTTGTATTTGTCAACCACGAGGATGCAAAGGTGAACTGAAGGTAAAAGTTTTGCATTAACCCTTTAATATTTTGTCATGTTAAAGTTATCTGGTTGATTTAAATTATGCTTTATGAATATTGGAGGTAAATTTAATTTATTATTACACAAATTGAAAGCACGTCGAGTTTTTTATTAATAGACTTCTGAAAAGTTCCATTAAACGAAATTAAATTTGAACAGATTAAGTAAGTTAATGGCTCACCCATCTCCAGAATCCGCAACGGCGTCTGTTTTATTCAACAGTTTTTCTCTTGGAGTGCTCGGTGAAAAAGCGAAAATTAAAGAGTGCCATAATTCGTCGGCAGGATCTTTTTTATTAATCGTAAGCCATTACCCTCCACTTTCGAGGTCCAGGGTCCTGGTGTACACTCCAGCATCTTTTGTCCGCCGTTATTTTTTATTCAGGCATCGACGCCAAAACGTGAAAATGTATTTTGCCTAAATTAAGTTTTATTGAAGTCCGATGTTCCAAGATCCAACCCGGTACGCTAATTGGTCCGACAGGACATTTCAATTTAAGATATGCACAAAGAAGACGCGACACGGCCTCCCTACAACCTTTTGTTAGGATTGAACAATCCAACGTACATAAACATAAAACAGCAATATCTCAATGGCACTCTCAACACGACATTCAAGAATGGCATAATTACACAGAAGACAAACACTTTGAGTGTGTAGAAATACTTTGATTGAATATAAAAAATATATTTTGCATTGTATAAATTCTCTTTGTTCCACATTCTACATGTATTTGTTAAATTTAAACAATGTTTGTAAATCCCAGGCCCTGAAGATGATCTCAATAAAGATCGAAACGTTGGCACGATAAAGAAAATGTTTTTCTGAAACCTACATCACACCAGACCGCATCTCACGATTTCTAAATAATTCAACAAAAGGTTTAATTAACCGATATTTCAATTAAAAGATAAACTATGTACAGAATTGTTAAACAACCACATTGCAGCAGTTGTTGTTTTTTACTTCATTTATTTTTATCTACATGTATTATATACAACCAGCAGATTGGATTTCAATTTATGCTTGTGGAGGAGGGCGTCGGTGACCGCAACGGTTTAGGCGTTGTCATGGCGCTCTTCTTTACTGTAAGGTAAAGATCCCGGGTTTGAATCCAGCGGCCCTGCATTCGAAACCGACATACTTACAAATGGGCTTTTTTTTCAAAAACACCGGGACCCCGTGGGTTGATATGACCTTTGTTCTTGCGAACACTCGTAAAAAAATACAAAAAAATTATGTTTGCGGCATTATGGGCGTTGTAGAGAAAGGACATTGGCAGCCGCTCTAGTTGAATAAAATGATAT